CAGAAGCCAGTAGAGCTGTAAACACCCTGGATTCATGCCCTTAAGTGGCACTGTCTTTGGTCCTAATGTAACCAGGGGGAAGGGGAGCCATTCTGTAACCTATAATGTGAATGGTGGGTGCTCCTTTGCAGCTGTTTCAGGACTTTCTGCTAGAAAATACTGAGGTTGGAGCTTCAGCCCTTGAGGCGGAAGAGATGTGTTTTACTATTTTAGCATGTTTTATGAATTGTTTCCACAGTGTTGTTATAGGAGTCAACTTTATTTTTTTATTATTATTTTTTATAGTTATAGATGGACAGAATGCCTTTATTTTGTTTATGTGGTACTGAGGATTAAACCCAATGCCTCACACGTTAGGCAAGTGCTCTACCACTGAGCTACCGTCCCAGCCCTATAGGAATCAAATTTTACCCCGGAAAAATCATCCTGAGGGCCTAACACGGTCACTTTTTGTTTTCAGAACTTTTGTGAGATCAAACCTGGCATCACTTATGCTCTCTATACAATTCCCAACTCTGGGATTCATGTGCTTCCCAAGTATAATAATCTTAGGAATATATGTTCCCAAGCCCTGAAACCTAATAAAGCTTTACTACTTGTTTTGTAGTGATGATGATGGTAGTGGGGATCTTGATGAGAATTTGGGTTCACTATAATCATAGTGCAAAAGAGAATGCATCCTAGTGGCCCTAGCCTATACATAATAGGTGCACAGTGGTAAGTTCGTTCCATCATTTGTTCGTTCAGACTTTAGTACTGAAGTCTTAATTGGATATGCTTGGAATGAAAATTCTTCATGATCTGTTTCAGATTATTTTCTACATCTTATAGAAGAGGAAATGAACATAGATAAAATTTATCAGAGATCATAGTCAGTTAAGAAGAAATACCAAGATTTCTATTCAAGTCTTCTGATTCCATCAACTGTTCATCTATGCCCTGGTGATATTAAAAGGACTTATTGTTTCTAGCCCCATGATTTCTCTAGTGTCAAATGACTGTTTAGAACACTCAGTAGGGTATTGGATATAGGAGCTTAATTAGTACTTGAATAAAAGTCTGTTTTAAAACTGCCAGTTTTCACTGCAGACTTATTCATTTCTAAAAGGGAAAAACACATGCATAGTGGCTTACACTGTAATCCAAGCAATCTAGGAGTCTGAAGCAGGAGGATCACAAGTTCAAGGGCAGGCAAGACCGTGACTCAGCAATTTAAATGAGACCCTGTCTAAAAATTAAAAGGGCTAGGGATATAGCTCAGTGATAAAACACTCATGGGTTCAATCCCAGTATTCAATAAATTGATTTTTAAAAAGCTAGGGATAGGGGCTGGGGATATGGCCCAAGCGGTAGCGCGCTCACCTGGCATGCATGTGCCCGGGTTCGATCCTCAGCACCACATACCAACAAAGATGTTGTGTCCGCCGAGAACTAAGAAATAAATATTAAAAATTCTCTCTCTCCCCCCCCTAAAAAAAAAAAAAAAAAAGCTAGGGATATAGCTCAATGGCAGACCAACTGCCTAGCATGCATGAGGCAGGCCCTGGGTTCAATCCCCACTTTTGAATAAAAATATTTTTTTAATTAAATGCATTGATGCTATAATGGTGACAAAATATGGTTCAGGCTTTCATGGAACCCATTTAGCATATAATCCCATGTATGCGTGTTGGAGAGAATGTTTTGTTTTAGAAGGCTTATCTAAGTGGGGCCTGATTTAAACCTTAAAGACAAGTAGATATTGCTTAGTTATATGATGTGGAAATGGGTCAGGGGGAATAATGTATGGAAGCACATACATTATTCAATAATGTATGTGCTTCCATACATTGGAATAATGATGGAGAGTGATAATGTTTATTCCTGCTGTTTCTTCCAAACCCTTGCCCTTTTTACATGGTCTGTTTATCTCCTGTTTCCATTGACCACTTCCTCCCTCAACCATTAGACCAGCAGTAGTAGTAACAGCATCCTATCACTAGCACCAAAGTTACTGGTCCTGAGAACTATACTCTCCCTTGAAGTACCTGTACACCTTGTACACATAAGTCCCTTTATTAAGCTTTCCTCCAATTATTCAATTTCAATAAGCCATCAACTTCCTGCCAGCAACCTAAGTGATATGAAAGTCCTGGGTTCAATCCCCAGCACTGCAATAATAATAATTATTATTATTATTATTTCAACAGGGAAATCACTGATCACATCAATTGCTGTGAAAAGCCTGAAAATATAAGATGAGGGCTTTGGAAATTTCCTATGAAGCCACCAGTAAACTTTGAGGTAGCAAGGGCAGTATGAAGCGCATGGAATGGTTTAGAAGTAGCTAAAAGTCAAGAATGCACTTGGTACTTATTAAAAAAAAAAAAAAGGCACAGCCCTGTGCTCACCTGTAATCCCAATTTCTGGGAAAGCTGATGCAGAAGCTAGAGTGGGCAATTTAGCAAGACCCTGACTCAAAAATTAAAAAAAGAACTAGGGTGTCACTTAGCAATAGAGTATCTGGGTTCAACCCCCAGTATGCGGGGGTAGGGGGGTCACCATAAGAGATTGGGAAGGGGTGGGAGGTGTTCAGTTTTAACATTACTGAGGCTGTCCTTAAACTAACACTCTTCCTGCCTCAACCTCCTGAGTTGCTGGAATTACACGCAGATGTGATAGCACCTAGCACAAATTTTGCTTTAAGTCACTAAGTTTGTGGTAATAGTTACACAGAAATTGATAATACAGATACTGTCACCTTTCTACTATTTGAAGTTAACTCCATAACTTCAAAGTAACTAAAATAGGTGCCAGCAAAACCATCTGAATTATTTCAAAGAAAAATTTAAACTTTTCAATAGGGCTTGGAAACAGGGGGCTCAGTGGTAGAGTGCTTGTCTAGCATGTATGATGGAGACGCTAGGTTCAATCCCTACACACATCCACACATTAAACTTCAACAATACTATAAAAAGTTTGGCCTATAAAATCAATCTTCTCCAGAAAACAAAACAATCTGAGAAATTGATGTGGATTATACCTCTTAGGATTCTTCATAATTCTGTAAAGAAGCTGGGGGGGCGGGTATTAAGGAAAAAGTATGTTGAAGGTAACGTTGAAGCCAGCCAGAAGCAACTTTGTGTCACCCCGTCTCAAAAAAAAAAAAAA